TAAAGCTCATTCTCCCTGGCAGGAAATAATTAACGCAGATTGTAAACACCAGGTGTGAAGTTAGGGAAAACTAGTCAGGCCAACTTGCAGCTAAGAAACCTTGAAAATGTTGCTTTACCCCAGCTAGTTGCACATTACTGTGTGAAGGTCACAGGTATGACTTGTTAATCTATGTGATAATTATAGTGCTTAGAACTTGGTAGTGATTTATAATGTAATAGTTATAGGAATAAGTTTTGTATGGACATTAAGAAATGGTAATCATTAAAAAATGTTCGAAATTTATAAAATTTATAGTTTAGGATGATAATGTTTTAAGATCAAAACAGGATGAACAAAGATACATTGCCTGTCCGGACCATTCTATTGTAACTGATTGCCTTGGAAACAAAAAACATGTAGGGTATAAAAGGAGTTGGAAAAGACAATAAATCAGCATTTGTCCTACTTGCAGCAGAGTCAGTGTCCAAGTTTTTTTCCTGTGCCTACACTGTCCCTCTTTTAGGAAACCCTGACCTGCTGGAGCTGGACTCTGGCATGATCACCTTTAGAGTTGAGTGATAGCATTATCATTTTTACTAAAGTGCTTGAAAAATGTCTTATGGATAGTCTCCATTCAAATCCTATTTCTGTGAAAAAAAATCCACCTGATGGTCCCTTCCATGTTAGAGAAAAACTAGCCTCCAAAAATGGAAGAGAGAGGATCATGCTTGGCATTATTTCCTGGAGTTTCATTTTTGTTTTCTTGGGGAAAGAATCTCTGTCTGTACTCAAGGCTATAGCTTATGTATTCCCTATCTCTGTCTCCTGAGTATTTACTTTGGGAGTTCTGAGAGTTTCCATTTATTTCTTCTGGATTTATTTCTTTTGGACACAAAGTAGGTAACCATTCAGGTCAAGACAAGAAATAAAAAATATTAAGGCCACTGACTTTATTGTGAAAAGCCACCAGGCAGTCAGCACCTGCTACTGATGCTCTTTCTTGAGCAAACTCCTGTTTATGGTGACAGAAGGAAGTAAATAGAGCTGATGCCCTCCTGACCCTACTCATCTAGAGGAAAAAGGCAATAACTTTCCTCTCTCCATTCTCATTTTTAAGCACATTTTTGAAATGTACAAAACTAACATGCAGCAGTGCCAACACTGCATGGCTGTGGATTGCGAAGTCATCCCCTGAATCAAGACAAGGAACTTGTAGAACAGGAAGTGGAACTAAATCAATGATTTTCCATTTGTTAATTACGAACCCTGAGAACCCAAGGAATTTTTGCATGGGGACTGTAAATTCATGTGCACTTCAATGACAACATGCAGACTGAATGAATAAAGACATCTCCATTTATCTATCTACCAATCTAGTCATGAGTGTGGGCTCTTCAGCTAGATTGCCTGGGTTCATATCCTTTTACTTAGCAACTGTGTTCACTCAAGCGAGACACTTAATCTCTTTGTGCTTCAGTTTTCTTGTTCTTAACCACATAAACTTGATAGATAAAGCAAAATAGATAAGACATACTTTTACCTGTTGTACCTAGTCTACAGGGATAGATTAACATTTCCTAGGTACATAAACACCATGTGCAGACAGATATTTTTCTTTTTCATCATGTCATTTTCAATTTTATATGTACCTCACCTGATTTTTATAGAACTTCAAGAGCAAGGAAGAAAGCAGGTTGATTGGGAAGCAGATTGATTCTTTTGCTTTCCAGTTGTGAAGAAGAGCACAGAGGCCAAGGCACTGTACAGACTGAACTCTGATCTCCCCTCTGTCAGCCATGTCCCCAAACACAAAAATACTTGTCAAAAGCCTCTTACTTTGGATCCAACTTCAGGGACACCTTACAGTCCCACAAGCCCCATAGTTCACGCATGGCCATTTTAGTTTCATTTCCCCACTACTATAAAATGAAATACAGATTAAGGCTTCTGAGAACCAATAACAAGTCCAAAGTGGGGCATAGTGATGCTGTTTAAGTACTGAACACTTATGTGCCCAGACTCAGAAGCTTGTCGTAAGAAGTAAAATTTAGACACACTTTACCGATTTTAGTGAGCACACGTTCTTGATGTTGACAGGATGGGTATAAGAAGTTAGCACACACTACCCAGATAATGGATATAAAAATTGAAGGACATTTTAAAAATAATATAAAAGGTGTGTAGACTTCAATTAGAGCATCAACTAATTCTGCCAGGATGAAGTGAAGCTACTGTTTAACCCTTGTATTTATGTGTTCCTTTTGAATTCTTGTTTTGTTGTTTTGGGAACCTGTAGTGACATCCTGTGGGAATTGAAGTGTACTTTACTCTTTCTGAGGTTGATGCTAATGGCAATTGTTTTAATTTTTTTTTTTTTAGGGCTGAGCAGGTGGGTAGTTTTTGTTTTTAAGCATTAATGAACTGGTTTTTTTGAAAATGCTAAATCTTTGCTATTCCTGCTACCAAAACATTTACTTCATTTCAGTACTGGACACTAAGGCAAAAGCTTTAGAATGGTAAAGTAAGTGCTTTAGAAATGAAAGTGGTCTCTTTAACTCCAAAGCTTATACTCTCCAAACTGGGAATAGCACTTCTCAAAGAGCCCCAGTCTACCTCCAATTTAAGTAGGAGCTACTTGGACAGTAACTTTGGAGGAAGACTTTACATAGATTATTTGAATCACAGTAAAGTGACTGTCTTTGAGGAACAATTTGATTGTAGGATCACTATCCTAGGAAAAAGGAAACCAACATATCTCCTGGACAGACGCTCAACAAAGTGGTAAAGTGGGCTCTGTTCCTGCTTTTTCCAGGGTCTAAGGATTTAAATATTGCCCTCTGACAGCACTTCAAAAACTACATCTTTCCCAATTCCTCCTCCTCCTTTGCATCGATCCCACCAAACAACTATGTTCTATTCTTTCCTGATTATGATCTCTTCTACGTGTCCCTTCTGCATATGAGATTGCGTAACCTCAATCCTATGAAGAGGATTGAAATTACTCAGATAAATTAAACTAGCATAAGGTACTAGTTATAAAACAAAGCATCTTACATAGGTTGCCAATGACCTTAGCCCAGTTGAAACTGATATTTCTCCTACAAGTCTTTAATAAATAATGGTAATCAAGAAAAAAGAAGATATGTGTATTAAAATTTACATGCCAGATGCTGTGTAATGCATTTTACCAATTTATTATCTTATTGAATCTCATAATAAAGTCATGATTTGGATACCATTATTGTCCCTATTTTATGGATAGGCCCCTCTCACGTAAAGAGCATTTGAACTCAGAAAAACAACTTTCATTTTTCAAAATAACTTGCTGTTCTCTTCCAGATCTGTCACTAAAGCATAGCATGTCTTGGGCCCAGTTATTAATTGTTTTTTACTGAAACTTTTTATTTATTTACCTTCTTAACCCTATATTTTCTAATTTCATAGAAATCTGAAAGTTTTTGTTAGATATTCACATTGAGTGACTGTGTTTAATCCAATCAATTTAATTCAACAGTATGTGAAGAACATGGCATGATAGAATGGTGCCTCAATTACTGTGGCTGTGAAATGGATTTAAGCATATTGTCTCTGTCTACTTCCAAGTTTTGGTAAAGATAAAATATAATACTCATGCAAAAAAATGTAAATGGCCGGGCTCGGTGGCTCAGCCTGTAATCCCGTACCTTTGGGAGGCTGAGGTGAGTGGATTGCCTGAGCCCACGGGTTCGAGACCCGCCTGGGTGGGCGAGACCTCATTTCTACAATAAATCAAAAAATTGGCTGGGCATGGTAACACACGCCTGTAGTTCCAGCTACTTGGAAGGCTGAGGTGGAAGGATCGCCGGAACCCAGCAGGTTGAGGCTGCCGTGGCCGGGA